GAGGGAGAGGGAGAGAGGGATAGAGAGAGACGAGAAAGGAGCAAGGCACTAAGACGGACAGCTAGGTTTGCTGGATGCGCTCTGGGGGACCCATCGAGCATGACGCGAGGCTTCTGCATGCCGGCCCACGCTTCTTCGGCGGCCTCTGACCAAGAACAGCTGTTGAGAGTAAGTTAAGAGGATGGGGATTGAACTGGCGATTTTGGATCCTCGGGGTTTATAGATTTAGGGTAGAATCGCAGAGGCTCTGACGCAGGGGCATGCTCCGGCAAGGAATGATGCGACGATGTGATGATTGAAATTTAGAGATTTGGATCGCATTTGCCACCTGTTCTATAGATCTCACAGCACGGATGCATTGTACAAGCATGCCTGCATGCTTGCACGACACATTCGAACATCGGCACACGCGTGAATGTACAACGCGCATGCACGCGTCCTCGACTGGAGTACACATACCGACATACATACATATCTACGTACATGCATGCGTATACGCACAGGCAACAAAAATTAGCATACACACATAAAAAAACATGTACACATACATACCTACAATGCAGTGTTCTGTACGTACATACTGCATGCCGACCTAAATTCTTAAAGTACAGGCCTACCTGCATACATTTTTAGGCACTCGCGCTCGACCCGGTCAGGCGAGGAACCCAAAACATGACAGCTAGATGCATACATACATACATACATACATACATACATACATGCATCCTGCATGCATACATTCTGCATAAGTCCATCCATCCGTCCATCCAGCCAGCCAAGCATCCAAGCATCTATCCGTCTTCCATCCATGCACGCATGCAGGGAGGCAGGCAGACCGGCATGCACGTATACACCTAGGCCTGCAATGCTACGTATTAATACACACATACTCTATACGTACACATACGCATACACATACACGCAAACTAGCAAACAGACAGACGTTTCGGCTCAAGCAGCCGGAAGCTCAAGACATGTTCCGAAGGTGGCCTGGGCATAGGCCCACATCAGGTTGGCATGCTCCTGGGCTTTGATCGCGCCTCAGACATGCTGAACATTGCTGAACAGTTACAGCACCTGGCAAAGTGGCCTGCGCAGTTGACAGAAGTATCAACCCCAAGGCCAAGCTCAGAATCCGACTTGGCGATTTTTTAGTGTGTCTGAATTGCAACTGATCACGGTGCGCAGGACCTCTGGGATTCACGCCTTCCTCGGTAAAGCTCTCGAGCTGCTTGCTTGCACTCCTCGACGCAGCAAACATGTGAAGACACATGCCCGTGTCCAAGGAATGCGCTGGCAACACTCAACACGGGACATCCTAAAAAGTAGGTTCCATGCACGTCGTAGCTACTGCATCGACAGACTGACATGCTCATCCCAATAACAAAGCTCTTTTGTTTGTATCAAGAGACACTAGTACTGGCATGATGCCCTTTATTATTCTAGTACTTCCAAGACCTGGGGCACCGCGGCACGCCAACCGTAAACGCTGCATGCCAAGGCATGCCGAATACGATGTCAACTGGAGCTGGATTGAATGATAACAAAAGGAGGCCCGTACTTTCCCAGACAATCAAACAAAGGAACACCTCTCGAACATCCAAGGCTAGTTTCTGTATCTTCTGCCGCACGCTGCAGGGGGCCGGTGTTGCAGGGGATCTTGCTGCGACTCCACTCTCTCCAGTGTGGAGTGACATTCATGCAGCTGCAACAACCAGGAACCACAGAGCAATCAGTCATGAGAAAGATATGTTTGCTATGGTATTGTAAGTTGGAAAGGGAAATGGTACCTCCTGCACAAACCTAGCCAAGGTTCTTCAGCAGCCTGCGAGTAACCTTGTCGGCTGACAAGACCCTGCCAGCACAGTTGCGGCGTGCGGATAGTCTCCACATCCGTTCAAATCCATGTCGGACTGTGAAGCTGTGTGCCATGTCTGTAGCTGCCACCTCGAACTGACTACAGAAAACCAGAAGATGTGCCTGGCACGTCTCAACATGAGTGCGAATGCGAGGACTGCCTGGCATAGGACCAGCAAATGATGGACACGTGCGACAAGAAGATGCCCTCCCATCCTTGGAATGTTTCCACGGGCGACTACTCGTCACAACAAATAGCACGACAATCGTTCTGGCAGCTGCGTGCCATTGAACTACATGTATAGACGCTCGAGCATGCGACGACCTCTATGAGTTACCAATCAGGTGCAGCCAGGTGGCGCGACCTCCATGTGCGATCAGATGCTCGGGCGCGCCGGCGCAGGTGGTCCTAGCGCAGCGTGTACTTACAACTGGAGGGATGCATGCATGAAGGTACATGTGTAAGTCGACATACGCAGACTCATCATCTTAAGCCATTAATTGTGTGCTGATTGATCATGACTTAGGTGGTTATGCCTTTGGTGACTGTAGGCCTCTCACATTTTCTTGGGCCGAGGAGCTGCCAGTCGATAGAAGAAGTCACGCGCCGGCCCCCTGGCCTGGTTGGTGCCATGCCTGGGTGTCAGTGAGCACCGGAATCTTGCGACTTTGCGTCTTTAGGGTCGAAAAGGCCTAAAGTTAAGACGTTTAGGATTTAAGGGTGCGACTTTGTGGGGTACGGGCTGTAAAGGGTTTAGGGTTGAAAAGGCTTAGAGCTAAGATGATTAGGACGACGGCTCCGACACCTTTCACTTATCAACACCACCGACCCTGTAAGCACCCCAAACCCTAAACCCCTAGGACCCGAAACCCTAAACCGCTAGGACCTTAAGGCCTAAATCCCAAACCCCTAGGACCTTATAAACCCTAAGCTCTAAATCCTAAAGCCCTAGGACCCTAAACCCTAAACCCCTACCAAACCCTAAACCAAGCACCCTAAACCCTGAACCCCTAAGACCCTAAACCCTAAACCCCTACCGGGCCCTAAACCAAGCACCCTAAACCCTGAACCCCTAGGACCCTAAACCCTAAACCCCTACCCGGCCCTAAACCAAGCACCCTAACCCTGAACCCCTAGGACCCTAAACCCTGAATCCTAAACCCCCAGGACCCCAAACCCTAAACCCTAAACCCCTACCGGACCCTAAACCAACCAGACTCTCGGTGACTGCCCAGCAGCAGACGGGCCAAGCCCCAGGAACCCATGGCCAGGTGCTGGATTTCGGCTTCCTGGGGCTTTAGGGCTTGGGGTTTAGGGTTTAGGGTTTAGGGCTTGGGGTTTAGGGTTTAGGGTTTAGGGCTTATGGCTATGGGGAATATGGATTTCGGGTTCGGGTTAGCGCTGATGCTGATAGGGTATATGGGTTTCGGATTGGGGTTTAGGGTTTCGTGGGGACACTCAAGTGTCCTTCGCGACTCCGTGGGCACATAAAATGAATTATACAAGCATCGAGACTCTTTTGAGGTTCGCGGGTTTCGCTGGCTGCAAATTCACACTACTATAGCTCCAGAACAGAAGGATGAGAAGAAAGAATTGATAGCTCTGCATCGTTTGGTTCTTCCTCCATCTGTACTTGTTTAGGCCCACTGTCGTGACAGGAGTTTTGCATGTCCTGTCAAGAACATTGCTGGCTTCTCGCATCTACCACTAAAACATACTAAAACAGAAGTTATCAAGAAAACACAAGTAAGAACTGCTTGCGCGCCAGGGGAGGAGTACTTACAAACGAGACAAAACATCCCCACTCAGGGAATAAAAATGGTCCGGCTCCCTGGGCTTACAATTCCAAGTGCAAGGCCTAAACCCACATCCACCGCCTGTGGTCCACTTCAAATCTTTTCCAGCTCCCCCCACCACCGACTGCACGAGGCCTTCGAAAAACTGCCCGGTCCTACCTGAAGTCTGCTCTGACCAGATTTACCTAGGAGCTTTTTGATTTTTTCCAGCTCGTACATTGAGACGGAAGATTTTTCAACCCAAGGAAAGCACTACGATACTTAAGCTTTCGAATGCTCCGTATAGGACCTCCAGAGGACAGCGAGGCACATCAAGGAGTTCGAGCATGCGCTTGCTGAGGTTGGCGGTCAGCTCTCCTGGTAGCCAGCTCCACACTTTTTTGTCCGCGCTCTCACTTTTTTTGCCTCCCACCTAGCTGGGACGAGCCCGCATTGCAGGGTACAGTCAAGATAACAGTTCTTTCCTTCGGAGGGTGGAGGGTATCGTGTTTCTCGCTCCCTCTCTCTCTCTCTCTCGATC